CTTGTCTCTAATGACTGATCATCTAGGCTATGTCTTTAGAGTGATCCCATTCAGTCTTGTCTCTAATGACTGATCATCTAGGCTATGTCTTTAGAGTGATCCCATTCAGTCTTGTCTCTAATGACTGATCATCTAGGCTATGTCTTTTAGAGTGATCCCATTCAGTCTTGTCTCTAATGACTGATCATCTAGGCTATGTCTTTTAGAGTGATCCCATACTTTCAAGTAAATTTTAGTTTAAATAACTCCATATTGCTCATGAATAATGGTTGAGTCTAAGAAAAAAGACGTGTATTTTTAACTCACGTGGAGAGCTGTCGAATGAGTAAAAACTAGTCAACCATAACAGAGTGTTGGATTAAATTTAGTGTATTAAAGCGTCTTTTACACAACATGAAACCTTTTCAAGCCAAAAGTACAGTTGCTCGGACCATGGAACAAAACAGACCAGTATTTTCATTATAAGCAGATGACCACTACTTTGCTTGCCACAATCTTAGAGTACCTGCTACGAGACTGAATCAAATATTCGCAGCCGTAACTGGATGCCGTGTCAGTGTCTTATCAAACCTGTTCTAAGCACTTAAGTTCGATGACAGTCTGCCCTTGCTGCTTGTACGACCACATTTCATACTGAAATTGAGATGTCATGATTTATAAAGATGTAAAGCTACCTCTACTAAACTTTCATTCACGAGCGTAGGATGATACCAATCACTTGTATTTCACATCACATGACAAGTCATCAGATGCCTGTAGGTATCTCCGCAAGGACTCAACAAACATTCATGCCAACTTTGGTGAAGGTCCATCAACAGGGGGCGAAGTAGTGGTAAAAACAGCAAAACTGAAAATTTGTATGTACCTCCGCATGGACTTAATGAACCTCCATACTAATTTTCGTGAAGATCCATTCACACCCTGCGAAGTAGTTACATGGACATACAACAGACAGTACTGTTATATTTATATAGATTCCAATTATTTCGCAGTGTACATATTATGTCTTGTTTATTAATATATTTTTAACCTTTTAGGTGGCGACATCTGTTGGTTACCAAGAGAACATGGTCCTTGTCGTGAATCGTTGCAACACTACTACTACAACTCTACTCAACAAAGATGCTTATTATTCATTTATGGTGGATGTCGAGGAAATGCAAATAATTTCAGATCTCGAGAAGAATGTGAGGCTAGATGTGGACAACAAAAACCACCCGCTTCTACTGAAGATCCTAATATTGGTATGATTGAATGTTCAAAATGTGATACTTTACGATCCTAATATTGGTATGATTGTAGGTTCAAGATGGGATACTTTACGATCCTAATATTGGTATGATTGTAGGTTCAAGATGGGATACTTTACGATCCTAATATTGGTATGACTGAAGGTACAAAATGTGATACTTTACGATCCTAATATTGGTATGATTGTAGGTTCAAGATGGGATACTTTACGATCCTAATATTGGTATGACTGAAGGT